GGGGGGGGGGGGGGGGGGGGGGGGGGGGGGGGGGGGGGGGGGGGGGGGGGGGGGGGGGGGGGGGGGGGGGGGGGGGGGGGGGGGGTGGGGGGGGGGGGGGGGGTTGGGGGGGGGGGGTCGTTGTGATAAGCCGTTGTCCAGCTAGTAATGTCTGGCCAATGTCTGCCTGGAGCCCATGTGTAGCGCGTTTGTGTCCTGCGACCTGGTTTATAACGGCTTGCCATCGGCTATCAATACATGTCATCAATTTGTTAATTTGGTCCTTTGTACGAGTCCAAACATTGTGTCCTTGATGCATACGATCTTTGCGCTATTGTGTAATATACTAAATATCCTGTAATATCCTGTAAATCCTGTACCCGTACTCATAAAGTGGTTCTGAGGGTTTTGCTATTATACTATGTTCCTGTTGAATGACAACTTTAACAAAAACGGTCACGTTCTAAGGTTAGGGATTTGTAATAGTGTGAATGGTTTTCCTGATGTTGTCTCTGTGGCTATTATCTCAGGTAAATATTATCTTTGTTATGATATTATGATAAATATTATGGCAATAATATTTATATTATGATAACATTATGGTAAATATAAAGATATGGTAAATATTATGGTTACTCAGATAAATGGTAACCCGTAATGATAAAACTATATGTCCATTCCTCCCCACCTGAAATCTGACATTTGCTCCACTGATTTCAATGCGGTTGTCTGGCTGATGGACGTCTCGTAGGCAGTTTCCATAAGCTTCCCATTGACATGGCTGGAAAAGTCCGGGGACCAGGGAACTTGATGGTATAACGGCCCTAGAACAGCAGCTTAGATGAGCTGAGTTCAACTCGGAACTATGAGAATATCGTTCAAGACTGATCTCGTCCAGTCAGCTGCCTGTGCGATTTTGATGGGTCAGGCAATTTTTCACGTGCAGTTCTACATTTTTAAAGTTTTTTTTACGTTTACATTTTCCTACGTTGATATCTGAATATCAGGTTCGCTGCCCCCTCGCGGGTCAATTTTTTCGGATCATAGCAGATGGCCACTAGCCATACACTATGATGGAACTGGTTGTCAGGTTCAGGGGGCCTCTCTTCTCTTGATAGACCGAAGACTGCATGCAATTATTCTAGTTACTTGTGCGTGGGAAGCTGCAGCATGTCGGAATTCACGTATGACTTATCTTTTGCCGTTCGTTCGCGGTTCACGTACAAAGGTTCCGCAGAGTTTTGGCTTCGGCGCAGAGGGAGCGTTCCGTAAAATAAGTTAGGGACTGAGCAGAGAAAAGACCAAGCTACCTCAAAATCGCCGATGGCAAGCTTTCTTCTCAAAGCTGGAAAGAGGGCTGGAGCCACCAGCTGAGGTGACACTACACATCTGCTATACATGGCCATTTTGGGGCCCAGAGCCCGGTAATCGTGTCAGCGTCATGACAGTGATTTAGCTATACTGTACGGAGTTCCACGACCTGAAGAGCGGGTTTTTCAACAACTGACTCATCACCGAACGTGTTGTGAACCATGATTCGAAAGTGACGTTAATTGCTCGGAAAACAAGCCTGGAGGAAAAACGATTTTCTTGTAATCTGGGAAATCTTTTAACTTTGCATTACGCAGCAAACGACTCATGCCAAAGTTGTCACGCATTGCTGGGACTGAGAAAGGGTTTTATCAAGGTCGTATACGAAATAAAATGGGGGAATTTGGGGGGACCCGGTTTTTAAATGCTTTTAGTTTTACGCGTGCTGAAATTTCAGCCGTTTCCAACCATATTCATAGCAAAATAAATGATTCAGCCCTCCACAGTCGCCGGATTAATTCGAAACAAGCTGAATCAACGAAGAACTTTTTCGCGCGAAGCGGCATTTAATGCCACGGTCCCCCTCCAACCGGCGGGACGCCGTACACCGCGCCATCTGGGGAGAGGGGTAACGAGGCTACCATACTTGAAACGCGCGTGCCCGCCGGCGTCCCCTGCGGCAGCTCTCGCTATTGATTTGAACGTGGCGGCGGCGGGCGCAGTGAGTCATCGGGCCCTCTGGTGATGCCGGCGCGCATCACAGACGCCCGAGCCGCCGCGCGCCGCCCGCCAGTGATAGGTGTAGTGCAGTGGGGAGAGGGAGCGACCGCCGGCGGACAAAGGCACCGATCGCGGACGACCGCGCACGCCCGAGGAAGCTGCAGAGCCCCGCCGCCGGATAGCAGCACAGACGAGGTACGTTGATGAGTCATGAGGCGGTTGTGTCCCAGATAAGGACGGAGATGAGCCGTAAGCGATAACGCAAACAGGCGCGGCATGCTTTGTACGTGCGATGAGTCGTATGCTTGTCAGGATTGAGGCGTCGACGATGCCATGTGGGTGAGTCACCTGTCGCTTCCAGCCGCAGGCAGGGTACCTTTGGAGGAGCTTGGGTCAATTGGATAAAATGTATGTGTAGGAGAGACGGCAGTGCAGACGAGGGACGGCCATCGGCCGATTCAGTGGCGGCGGAGAGGCGAACGAATTTACGGCCACTGAGTGTGGGAGAGCAGCGCGCGCGGAGATGAAATGTGGCGACGGCATGTGCTTACGCCTGCGGAGGTGGAAGGCGGCAGCGGCGGCAGATCGTGCTTTGGGATGAACTGTGTGCAGCTAAGCACACGCGAGGCACAAATCTCAGACGTTAGGCGGCAGGGCATGGAATGCACGGAGGCCAGCCGTTATAGACAGCCGCATGGCCGTCCAAATTTGAGCATGAGTGGCATTGGGCGGATAAGGCACGGAGAGTGGTACGGAGGAGTGCCCGAAGGCGGCGGCTGTGCGGACGGGTATGAGCCGTGAGGTGGGGACAGCTACACAGACGAGGCATCGGCGTCAGCTGCCATGTCAGCCGGCGTACTCAAGACGACCAGCGCGCCTAGACGGGCGACCACACAAGGCCAGCGACCCGGCCCGGCGCGCGGCCGTCTGCCATGGTAACGGCTCGCGCCCGGCGCTGGATTACTTCGCGTCTCTGTTACCCTCTGCGGTGCTAATCGGCGACGAAGTCGTGCTGACGGGGTTGGCAACCCGGGAGTGCGGTTCCGGCTTGGCGCCCGCCGAACGTTTTCCGGTGTTTTGAGCAACACGCTTGCCGTTGCCGGCCGGTCATTGCAGGACGGGAGACACCCAAGACGCGTGTCTGCTGTCGGCTGATGAGAAGACAGAGGACCGAGCTGTTGTGTAGGAAGAGGACCGAGCTGATGAGAAGACCGAGGGCCGAGCTGATGAGAGGACTTGTGGACCGAGATGTTTGCTGTCGGCTGACGAGCTGATAGAGGAGTGAGGCGTCAGGGAAAAGTCGCCGGTATATGCAGAGAGAGGGACAGACGTATGCGTGTAGGAATGCACTGGTGGACAGGCTTAGGACCTTTGTCACGAACATCACGGGACTTTTTGTCGCTGTTGTTGAGTCGGAGGCATCGCTGGCTTGGCAAACCGATCAAAAACAAACTCGGGTCTGAGGTGGCGCGCCTAGCTGTCCGCGTCATGCGACCTCTGTTGGTGTCCCAGGTGTCTGGGTGTGATTTCATTTCTGCCCCGGGCAAACACGCATCTGTTTCCTTATGTTGGACGAGACCCTGGCTCCCGACTCCTACTGGCTGCTTCGTGAACACCAGAAGCTGGTTTCTGGCTCCCAATGGTTCTTTGTCAATACCACAGTCTGGTTTCTATTGGGTCTTTGGCAACCACCTATTCTACTTCCTTGTTTCTATTGGTTCTGTTGCAAACATCAAAGCCCGGTTTTTCCTTTCTATTGGTGTGTGTTAGACACCAGACCCTTCGTCACGGTTCCCTTTGTCTCACTCACGGAGCGGTAGATCTTGGTTTCTTTCTATCATTGACCCATTCGTAAACAACCGCTCTGGTTGTCATTTGGCATTTAATGCACCTTTGAACAGATATACCGTCTGAAATAAAATACATATATGTTGGTTTGAATCGCCTTGTGGTGCTGCTCGATATGCATAGAGGATTGCAGCATTGGTGACACCCAGTCTAATCCAATCTCAGTATCCTTATTTCCCAATCAATTATCTTCTCCGCCCGTTAACCTGTTGATATTCACCTTTTCCTCGCTGGCTGCCACGTGCTGACCAGCTCGGCCATGGCGTGGCGAAGCCCATCAAATGATAGTCTTTGTCTCTGCGAATCGAATGTCTTCATCGTTCCAAATGCTGCCCAGATATGGACCTTCTCGCGAGCCGCCATGTTTGTTTACAATACCAAAAAGCGCCGCCGTGTTGGCCGGCGTCGGCGGCGAGCTGCGCAGGCCGCCTTGAGCCGCCGGGGCTCAGCCCGCCCCACAGGGCCGGCGCCGCGGCGCCATCTCCAGTGCAGCTGTTCAGTGCGGCACACGCGGACATGTCAGTCACGGGCTTGTCGCGACGCTTTGTCCAGACTGCGGCCGCGCGCATAAGAGAGTGCGTGTTATCAGCAGCTGCTGACGACATCAGCTGATATGGCAGCTGCTGACGAGCGTGTTATATCAGCAGCTGCTGACGACATCAGCTGACATGACAGCTGCTGACGAGCGTGTTATATCGGCAGCTGCTGACGCTATCTACGCTTCAACAGTTGAAAGGGCTAAGTGTGTGTGGCTCGCGCACCGCTTATGAAAACGGAATGCAGAAGTCGTGTTCTAATCTTCTCGTGTGGGGCGGCCAGACCGGACGTGCTTCCGTGCTGGCACAATCGCCGCCAGCGTGGCTTGCGCAGCATACTGACTGTACCTGACGCTGTGGTCGGAAGCTGTATCTGCTGGTCACATCCGTCATCTGCAGGGCCTGCGAAGTCTCGCTGGAGCGCAGCTTTGACGCTGCCCGCTGTCCCTGGCGTAGCTGAGTCTCAGCTTGCGCTGTACGCTGACTCAGCTGATTCTCAGCTTGCGTTGTGCCCTGGATCAGCTGATTCTCAGCTTGTGCTATGTCCTGGCTCAGCTGATCCTCGGCGTGTGCTGTGCTCTGGATCAGCTGATTTCCTGCTTGCGCTGTGCCCTGGATCAGCTGATCCTCAGGTTACGCTGTGCCCTGGCTCAGCTGATTCTCGGTTTACGCTGTGCCCTGGATCAGCTGATTCTCTGCTTGTACTATGCCATGACTCAGCTGATTCTCAGCTTGCGCTGCGCCCTGGCTCAGCTGATTCTCAGTTTACGCTGTGCCCTGGATCAGCTGAGTCTCAGCGTGTGTTGTGCCCTGGATCAGCTGATTCTATGCTTGCACTGTGCCCTGACTCAGCTGATTCTCAGCTTGCGCTGCGCCCTGGCTCAGCTGATTTCCAGCTCTCGCTGTGTCCCTGATCAGCAGATTCCCTGCTTGCGCTGCGCCCTGGCTCAGCTGACTCAGCTTGTTGACACTACAACAGCTGAGTCCCAGCCTACTGCCACTGGCCGACTGATTTCTCAGCTCACCGACCTTGGCTAAGCGGTGTCCAGCTGGTGCATCGATCCTGGTTCAGGTGATCCTCAGGTCATCGTGCCTGGCTCATCCTAACTCGCCGTGCCTGGCTCAGCAGATTCCCACTTCTTGGTCCCTGGATCAGCTGAGCCCAGCTGAGTGGTCAACGCTCAGCTCAACCGAAACGCAAGCGGGCCAAGTTCCCGAACGCCCGCTCAAACAGGCCTCAAACTAATCAGCAGTCCGAACTCACACCCACCTTTCCAAATGATGTCCGTGTCAGAGCCGCGCCTGTTCTGTCTCCTAGCCGCGCAGCCGCCGCGTCCCACCCTCCGACAGCTGTCCTCCGGGGAGCGTGTGGAGGGGAGGCGGCGCCGCCTGCGCGCGCTCAGTGCAGGCGACCCTCCGGAGAGGTTCCGGCGGCCCTGGGCCGGACCCGCCGGCTCAGGAAGCGCAGCAGCTTCTCGCTGACTCGGCCCGACAGGAAGCGCCGCCGGGGAAGTCCTCCCGCGCGCCCGACTGATCGATTGTATGCTAATGAGCGTAATTAGAACCAATCTGCGGCGCGGCAGACCAGTGAGTGGTGGACCTTGGCGGACAACTGGCCTGTAGCGTAACCAGAGAGTCACTCCGGACTCGGCAGTAATATGATATGGACGGTGCGCGAGGCTGGCACCATGCAGAGACGAGAATGAAAGCCATTTGTTGACGTTTTATTTGCTCTCCTGCTGGGATGGCGACATGCAAGTCACAGATCTCTTCCATCTTGGTTGCCGAGGGCGTCATGCTGCTGAGAGCGTTTTTTTGTGGAAGTTTTTGGGTCATGTACCACTTCCGGTAATGGGAAACCGGAACTCTCCTCAAGAAGCGGTGCCCGAGCCGTGGTGTCCGGCGTGCTTTACCCATTCTACCACGCTCCGGTTGGCGCAGGACTCAAAACTGATCAGTGGCAGTCATAGGCAGCTACAATTTCCTTCGCGCTCCTCTTGTCTTTGAGCGCGTTTTTTCTCCACTGACTCTTCAAAGTGTCTTGTATTCTTGCATGCTTGTCTCCTTCTTTCATTGCCCAAACATTCTCCGAACAGGCTTATCGCTTGGGGGGGGGGGGGGGAGGGGAAGGAAGGAGAAGGGGACAGTGGCTTGCCTGCTTTTCTGAAGTCGCACAGTGCCGAATGTCCAAAGAGGCGTCTCGCACCTCTTTCCTCGAAAGTACCTCGTCTCCTGGCCATTCTGGCCTCCGTAGCGAGACCTCGCCCTGCTGAATACGCGGACAGCCTCCTCCTCCTATCCATGCGGTGCGGGCACCTCCCCGCAGACCAGGAGCATCCGGGCGGACCTGGCCGGTGGTCACCCGCCAGGCCGGCGCGGCCTCGCCGCCGGAAACCAGGGTTCTCTCCACTCGCTGCACTGAGACGTCTCCGCGCCGCTCCGGCTGCCCTCCGCCATGGTGGTGTCGGGTGGCCGTCGGCTATTCGGTTTGTCGATCTGGATCGGACCCGTGCATAGAGTTGGATGTTAAAGTGGAGCAGAAATCAGAAATATGTATTGCGTTCGAATCGTTCTTGACTATTTGTTATTAGCTATTGATTATTCGGTGACATCAAAGCATGTTTGCCCTATCGGCAAAAGGATTTTACGGACATTCAGTCGCAAGCTGGGCTGCAAGTTTCCAAGCCCGGCGTCTCTACTGGGGGCCACTCTCGCTCGCCATCCCCGTAGAGTCGAACCCCTGACCGGCATGACCGGCGGCTTCGGTCGCGGGGGGTTCTCGCCGCCGTACCCGGAGCCACCGACGCGTGG